CTGCGAGTCTTTTGTATTTTCACACTCGAAGGATGCAATCGGTTCCAACCAATATATGGAGGGAAACTCAATCGCTTGAGTGATGAGTGTGTCTCTGTCCCAATCTGGGAACAGAGTCTTCTTGGCTTGAATAGCATCCTCATCCTCCTTGATCTTTCTTTCCCTGGCCTCGGCCTCTCGAGCTATTTTAAGAGTTTCATCAAGCTCTTTGTCCCTTTTCTTGCGTTGAAGAGCTTCAGTGATAGTTTCATCTGAATCTGATTCGCTCTCAACAAGGACTTGTTTCCCAGAACCCGAAGCTACATTAACCTTCGGTTCTGTCTTGGACACACCTTCCTCTCCCCCTTGTCGCGGAAGAACAAGCTTCTCCGAGACACCCTTCATTTCACTCAAGATGTTAATAGCAGGAAGGAGTTTAGCCTGGAGATGCTGTCTGATAGTAAGGGTAAGGAAGGGATCATGAGTGTCAAGAACATTTGTTAACAAATTCTTGACATCACCAGCGCAACTTTGAAGAACTGCCCGCTGAGTCTTTAGCAAAGAAATTTCTTGTTGTGCCTGGGCCAGTTGGATCTTTTGTAGGTCGATGGTTGCCTGGTGCTTGACAAGATCTTCCTTCAGGGTGCTCTCTGCTGCCAGAGAAGCAAAACGTGAATCCAAAGATTTGAGAAATGATGTGGATTCAGTTTTGAGGTCAGCACGCAGAGCCTCAAATTTGGTGGTTTCACCCTGAAGGGTAGCCGAGAAAGAGTCTACGGACGTCTGAAACTTGGCCGCACTGGAATCAGCATGAGCTTTTAGAGAATCAAGAAAGATCTGAGTTGTGTGAACGACCTCAGAAACTTCCTTGGTGGCTTTGGAGCATGAAGCAGCTGAGTTATCGATGGCATCAGTTGAACGATCCAGAGCGTCAGTGTACGTCTTGATCGCAGACTCAATGAAGGCTTTTAGCACAACACCCCCGTAGGCTTTATTATCAGCCAGCAGACTATCAAGTTTGTCGTGAATTTCCTGAATCTGCTGACTAGTACAGGGGTATCGGCATCAGTGTCTGTAGGAATCCGGTAGGGGCTATAATAAATAGAGTCGAACTCTTCATCATCGCCGCCCAAGGTAGCACCGGAGTTGGAGGATGGAGAAGGAGATGGGGGAAGGTTGATGACCGGGGTTTCAACCACAGTAGCAGCCCCTGTATCAGATACATTGACTGTACTGGTGGTTGGGAAGAGGTGATAGTAACTGTTTCGGTGATAATTGGTTGGAGATAGAGGAGAAGGTTGAGTAACAGAGAAGGGAATGGTTGGTTCTGTTGTAGTGGGAGGGATGGTTATAGGAACAGAAAGTGGGACCTTCTGTGTTGGTGATTGGGGTGGAGTTGGAATTTTTGGAGAAGTGGGAGGAGTGGGTGATTTGGTAATTTGGGGAGATGTAGGTGGAGAGGGTGATTTGGGAATTTTGGGAGATGCTGGTGGAGAGGGTAGATGAGTGACTGCGGGAGAAGATGGTTGTTGAGGAGACTGAGCAGGTGTTGTTTCGGTTTGAGGAGCAGCAGCCTCTGTGTCTGATGGGTCATTAGGAGCAGAGTCAGGAGAAGGAGACCCTTTGGCTCTTTTAGCCATCTTCTTGACCTTTTTGGATTTGGACTGAGAAGGTTCCTCTGCCTCAGATTTGCGTTTGGAGGATCTTCTCTTTCTCTCCTTCTTTGGTTCAGTTTCTTTCTTCTCCGTTTTCTCCTTTTTGCTTGCCCTCTTGCCACGGTTGGCAGGTTGATCGAGGGCGTCGAGAGCAGCACGCTGTTCATCGGACAGAACCCTTGGAGGCAAGGGTGTTCTGGTGCTATAGTCAGCCATGATTTTGCTGTGAGGCGTGACGCACCTATACATGGATTCAGGGATCAATCCATAATGGAGAAACTTACTTGGATCAGAGACAATGATCTTCTTGGTGTGGTAAGAGGCAATTGAAGCCGTAAGAGCATCCTTCATCACCGGGATTTCAAGGGAATCCATGGCCCTTTTGGTAATAAGCGTCCAGAAACGGCCGCATGAGATCTCGGAGTACCTTGTAGTTGTGTTGAGACTCTGAACGACTTGAGACCAGATTATGGAGCCATAATCTAGATTGATGCCGTTGTAAAGACCATACAGGATGGTCAGAAACCCTTTACTCGTGGTGTCAGAACCACCACACCTCTCCGCTAAACCCTTAATAAGAAGGGTAAGCAATCCGTTCCACTGAGACGGAAGACAGGATTTCTTGACTTTGGCAATGGTAGTAAGAACATCCGTATACCCCATTTCGTACATCATTGAAAAGAGTTGCGCAGTGGTGATAAAGTCCGGTGAGATGACGGAAGAGTCGACAGCAAGCCCTAGAAGAGAGCAAAACCTTGTTTTGGATACAGAGGTTTTCTTGTCGTGAATGGTGAAGAAGATGCGATCTTTGTGTTTGTCGTAGTTGGCCGTTGTGTAAACTTGGGAGAGCAGGGACATGGGAACGGCCTCCACCTGCGTGAGTGCCAACAACAATGGGGAATATTTGAGGCATTCCACCACGTGTAGCATGTAGGAGTCATATAAGAATGGGGTCATCTCTATAATCAAATTTTGATTAGGTTTGATTGAGAGCAAAGAGGAGGATGCAGTTTGATCTTGTGCTGAAGAAGAAGTCGCCATTGTTGAGTTGTGGAAGAAGATGAACAGTGGAAACTTTTTCAGAGAGAGAATTCGTGAGAGGTAAATGCCAAAGAACACGATCACCCCTTATTTATACCGTTCACAGGAGAGAGAAAATCGTGATGATGAAGAAACCAAAACGTCGCCTGAAAAAGCGCGATTGGAAGTTATGGTGTATCCCAGGAATACGTCAGCACACGTGGGTGTGAAAGGAATCAATCGCACGCGCCCAAATCATTTTTGTACCGTTTGAAATTCCTTGTGCCCTTGTTTGGTTACAACTGAAACTTAAAACCACATACCAAACAGCAATCAGAATGTTGGAAAAAATTAATTTTCGTGCATAAGAGTGTGAAAGATAAAGAAATAAATCAAAGGTGTTTGGGATGTGAGTGTTGTCTATTAAGAAGACAGAAAGCGGAAGATTCCGGGAAAATCGCTTCCTTCAAAGCCAAGAGAGACTTGAAGTGCTTGTGTGGTTTCCCGAGAAATACGATCAGTTGTCTTTTAACAAACAATGAAAGGCATCTTTTGATAATGGGCTGAAGGGTGGCTGACCTCAAACCGAACATCAAGTCTTAACATAAAACTAAGTGTTGGTAGAGATACCTGTGAGACCGATGTGATCTGTTGAACAGGTAGGTGAGAATTATCGCGTGACAAGAATGGGATAGACAGAAATCTCAAAGAAAAATAAACTGGACCTCTTTGGGAAGAAATGTCTTAGGTGGAGACAATTTCATAAAAGATCACACAAAAAGAAAATGAGATTTCCAAGTAATAGCTTGAGTTTA